GGCACGTCTTGCTCGGTTTCAGTTTTCGTAATCTCCACACCGTTTGGAATCAATTTTTCCGCTTCTGGTTCCTTTTCCATGTTACTTCCTATGTATGGTGGAGTCTGATACACCGAGGGTCTATGGTCTTGCACCAGACTAAGTGGTTGACTGGGTGGTTGCAGCGTGACATAGCTTAGTCCGCTGCCAGTCAGGGGTTTCATCGATCCTGACTCTGATCCTGGTACCACTTTCTGTGCCATGGCATTTATGGGGAGCATGGAGTGGCTGGTAGAATACAGCTATGTACCTAGATGTCATTAATGTTAAAGTCTTGTGTCCAAAATGCTAGAAATCAGACTGGGATCTCAGATGAAGAAAGAATTGATCACTCACATTAGTAATGTAATCAAATTGTTCAAATATGTGACTTAATTAATTCTTTCCTAGTTAATTCTTTTTCTGAGATACCGAATCGATTTTTAGCATCATGGACACAAGGTTTAAGACAAGCACTCTTTCTCAATCACAGGAATAATATTTATTTACGAATATAAAACCGATAAAGCAATAACAAGCAGGAGATAAAACAATGCTTTGCAAAATTAATTTATTTACACTGAATTATATTCCGATAACGTACCGTGCGCGTTAATTGTGTACAGTCAAGAACTCTATATTTTTACTATAATTCGTTCAAATATAAAGTTGTGCACAACGAAATGGTGTGTGCAATTACTGTTTGTACTTGACAATTACTCCGCTAATTAAACTGAATACGCTGCGAGTCTCGTATCTATTGCTATTCCCGAACATATCGGAGCAATTAAGAAACAAGAAGAAAAAAGTCACATGATAATACAAAGTTTATATAACACAATTATCATCGCGAGTACATTACGAGCACTTTTACTGTATATATCCCTACACAGCGGACCGAGTACCTGAGCGCGTTGCCGCGAACGTAATCCGACGATAAAAAAAAAATGGAAACGTTTGTTTCCGCTAATAGGCGAAGAACGCGAGACAGGGAGGAAAAACGCCTGTGTGTGTGAGAAAGAGAAAGAGAGAGAAGAGGGAGGGAAGGAGAGTGAGAGAGAGGAGAGGAGGGGGGGAGGGAGAGCGCAAGAGCGAGAACGAAAGCGAGAGAAAGAGAGAGAGAGGGCACGAGAGCGAGAGAAACGCGGGGACGAAGAAGCGGGCGCGTGGCGAAAAGCGACGAGAAAATCGTGAAAGGTGGGAAAGGAGACGAGTGTGCAGAGGCTAGGCGGACACGAGGGGTAGGGTGGTGGGGGAGGGGGTAATTAAAGGAGTAAACATAAACACGGGCGAATTTTCGCCGCGGGGACGCAGCTGGCGGGACGAACGCAACGCGCGCGGCGCGGCGCGACGCGGCGCGGCGGTTCAGGATGGCGCGCTCGCGCTCGCTCGCTACGTTACTGTACGTTACCAGCGATCCTGCAGGAGAGCGGGGTAGAGGAGGGGTAGCCGTGTAACAGGAATCCGCCACAGCGCACAGTGGTGGGTCCTCCGTGCCCGGATGGTTGACCGCCGTCGCTCGTTGCGTTGCCAACACGCACACACACGGGTTAGCTCGTTCGCCCAAACGTTTGGCCGGCACGCAGTGAGCCTCGTCCCACGCCTATCATTTCATACGGCGTACACGCGCCATAACGAACTTAACGCGACGACCTAAGCCGAACTTTAGGTAGGAGTACGCCACTGCAGAAGCACGGTTAAACACGCACAATTCGCCAAACAACAGGACCGACGAGAGCGACGAGGAAGTTACGCGCTTCTTCGACGATGGCCCTGGTTTTACCAGCGAGAGCGAGCAGGAATGCCAGTCGTTAGATGGCGTCGGTTCCCCCCCGGACGCCATGCGTGATTCGACTCGGTCCTCGTCGCCGTGCAAGCTGATTCGTCGACGTAGCCGCCAATGAGGCGTCGCCCGACGTTAAGACACGATTCACAGTAATTCATTACGGCGCGTGCGCGAGTGCCGCGATCGAGGTTTGCACTTTGCACTCTTTGCTATTCCGATGATTACGAAAGTCTACCTAACCTACAAAACTTTGTGTACATACACTCGTTATTTTGTAAAATTAGTATGAAACAGAACATTAGAAGAATGATAGCAAGAGACTTTGTGCTAAAGTATCCTAAGGTATAAGAAGACATTTTTAAAACCTTTCAACCGTAGGGATCAACTAAAAAAGAAATATACGTTCGGATTAACTGACATCAAGGTTTTTGCCAACGAATTTCTAAAAATCGGTAAGAGATGCGGCATACTTTTAAATTGATAAAGTCGAATTGCACAAAAGATGCTCCTCGAAAAGTCCAGGTTTGAAATCACCCTGTGATTGGAGTAATATTTTTCGTGATAAATTCTTTGAGATACATCATTATTCGATTAACGCCAAATTTAATTTACGATATTACATACTATTTCAGCTTTAGGATGAAAAAAATTAGGGTAAAATGAGATACAAGACATAGAGATGATGTTTTTAAAATATAATAACCCAATTAAAGTTTAATGTCATTGGTTAACTCTTGATATATATTGCTTTCAAGAAATACTTCCAGAAAAAAAACTTGCTCTTATTAGATTTTATTCATTGCATATTAGATATATTGAACATGACAAATTAAAAATTATAGGATCAAGATGAATATCCCGCCGATTCAACAGCCAGGTGCTATGGGTGTGGGACAAATGGGACAGCCAGTAAATCCTCAGTTGTCCCAGAATCAACAACAGGCGCAACAAACGCAACAGCAACAAGTTCAGCAGCAACAGCAACAACAGCAGCAGCAACAGCAGCAGCAACAGCAGCAACAAACACAGGACAAGCTTGATAATATCTCTAAAGTAAAATCTCTGGTTGGACCTTTGAGGGAATCATTAGCCATAGCTCTTAAAACTGCGGCACAGACGTTGCATCAAAATAGCTTGGTCGATGTAGGAACCATGAAGGGTATAGAGCAGCCAGATCATCGATTTAACAAGAATATGGAAGAATTCTATTCCATTTGTGACCAGATAGAGCTGCATCTGAAGACTTCCGTGGAATGTCTGTCCCAGCATTCCAGTTCGGTTCGATACCTACCGATGTCCGTTATAACAACTCGCACCGACACGGTGAGCTCGCAGGAGGGACCAGCGTTGTCTTATCCACAGTTTCTAATGACAGTGCGCGCGCAAGTGGCATATGGTCGGGAGATACATGACACTCTTATGTCTCACGCTCGCGCGATATCATCTGGTGAACAATCTTAATTTTTAATTCTAGAAAAATGTTTTCAAGTGCTCAGTAAAATAAGACGTTATTTGAAGTATTAAAACAATCGTATTCCGCAATCTAGTAATAAGTTTTTTTTTAGAAAATAATGACTATGAAGATGTTATTTAATAAATTATGTGCAAATTGAAATATATACACATTGTTATTATGTGATTAATATACAGGGCAGCATACGAAATATCATATTATTTAGTTATGCAGTTTTCAGGCTTTGGTAATTAATTATATATCAGAGAAACGCTCCTTGGCGTTTTGTCCAGTTCTGCATCAATTTGATTAAAAATAAATGTTTTGTACATATAAATCAAGTAATGCGACATTTTGTGTGCCACTGTATATAAGAAGAAATTTCTTAATTTTCTATACACATAGGATATTTTAAAGCTGATGAGTAAGTTTGAAAAACAAATATATTTGACAAAAATGGACAAAATTAATAACTTTCAAGTTTTCATTAAGCTCCCTACTTTAAATAGTAATATTTTCATTGGTATACTTTTATGGAAAAATCAATTACGATCTCAAAATCTAAATACAAGCTGTATGATATTTAATGACTTAAAAATTTTATGCATGATATAAATCGATGTGAGACAATTTTTCAATTATTTCCGTTTCAATATAGTATAATTTTAATCTCGGTTCAATTTTTGGAACTAAAAAAAAATAAAGAGTTAATTGAACAAATTAAAATTGAAGTGCATTGGCTATGTCCTATCGACGTAAATTAACTTCAATCTCGATTCAATAATTTGCTCTTCATCCTTTTTTAATTTTTAGAATTGAAACATGAGTTAGTTGAATCCCGAGATTGAAATAAAGCTGTATTGGTAAATCAATTGCGAAACATAACGAATGTTTGTCGATCGCAAGTAAAGTTTGTACGACAGCGTAACATATCGTCAACATCTCGTTTAGAGTTCCGTGAACGAGACATTGCCTAAAGGCATGCCCGTCCCATTCCCTTCACCCCTCCAGCCCATTCTGATAATACCATGCCGAAAGTTTGTACGTAGCGAGGACGGTAGCGTCGTCGGCGCGGTACAATAAACTCGGAAGTAAAGTTTACATTCCGTAATACAGCTATACAGGTCGGTCGCCGCGATTTGCGGTCACGTATAGCAGAAATGCAGATTGGCCAGGGGGGGCCGGAAAGGCGTGCAGGAAGCGCTACTGTCAGTTGGATTGGTGTTTCGTAGCGGCGCGCCGTACGATCATTCGAAAAGGAAGGACCACCTCTGTTCACCATATTTGGTAAACTTTCCCTAATATGGTAACGTCTACTTCTAAATATGGCAGCCGGGGACGCCCTCTCGGTGTGCGATGTACCACTGCGCGGCCACACTCGTGGCCGAATATCGTCCGAACGAAAATATCTAGGAACGATCTACCGATCGAACGGGACAGTACGAAGTCTGGGAGATTTTTCGATATCGATTTCGGCGCGGATCCTCGTCCCGTCAGGGCCATGGCGTTACGGTGGACTAGTTTTTTACGGCGTAGTCGCTCGACGGTGGGGGGAACTTCGG